CCCCAAAACCCCAAAACCCCAAAACCCCAAAACCCCACTCAAAACTTTTATTTTGAATTAAAATTTAAATGGAGAGGGTATATAACAAGCTGAACCGATTAACCATCGCTGACTTTAAACAATTGCTTACCGACCTGAATATCAGTCATTCTCGTTGTAAAACAAAGAATGACTACATCAGAGTATTTCTTAAGAAGAAAGCAAAGTCTGTGAAGCTAACTCCAAAGAAAATGATGAAAAATCGCGCTAAAATTTCGAAAGAAATTAGAGATTGAGATGAATCCTCAATCAGCAGTTATTACTCCAAATGCATCATAGAAGAAATGGAAGATAAAGATGTCAATAAGGTAGAACATTTCATCAAGACAGTCAAGACTTCAAAGTAAAATACTTAAGCACTAGCATATAGGTCAAAGAGTCCTAAGCTTGGGAAAAGAAGAAGGAGCACCCCTAAGAAAACAAAGAATAAAGCGGTAAAACAGCACGAAAAGCAAGAAGTGGTTTCTTCTTTCAATGCTTTACCCTCTCCGAAAGCTACAAAGAGTAAGAATAAAAGACACCAAAAGAAGATTAAAGAGAAGCCTAAGTCCAGTAAGAGGATGGTCACAAGATTAGCTTCTTCTGTGAATTCTACTCCTAGAAGATTAGATCCTAGCCCTGATCCACCCAAGAATGAGTATCCTAAAGCTTCATACAGAGGAGCTATTGTTTCTGAGATTAGTGATGCAGTTCATGAATCAGAAGAAGATCCTCCATCATTTTCTAATGACAATCCTGAACATTTTATTCAAAATAGGGTGAGAAAGAGGAACGGAAGATCCACGATGGGAGAAATGCATGAGGGCACCCACCCAAAGGTTATCATGAAGCTTCCAACTGAGGATATTGAAGCTCATGATGACAGAAGAACCCCTCTTAAGAGGTTCATTGATGCACAACAAAGGATCATGACTCCAGTGAAGAATTTTGCATCAAAAGTTCAACGCAGAGTTGAAAGTTCCTACCTAATAAAATCTGAATGGTTTGGGACGATCTTTTTAATATGAATTGTGTCTGCTTTTATGCTGGCTGGAGCCATTAACTTTGCTTCTAAAGTTCCGTTTGAAAACTATAAATTGCCAGGAAACCATACTATAAAGTACATGGAATGGAATCCAATAGATGAAATCTATGACTGCCAACAAGGTACTGTCAGCGTCGGCCATCTCTGAGCAGATGAAAATGATCAAGCTTATATTGATGAAGTTTTAGCAATGAGCGGAGTTTTTGATGAACTAATCCAAAGATATGATAAATGAGTCGGCACTTTGAAAGATATCACTGTTCCTGTGAGTAATCCAGCAATTATTAAGGAGATCGCTATTAATCCCTACTACAGATCGAGAATAGAGTTTAAACAATTAGAAGTTTATAAGTTTACTTTCAGTCTTAAGGAAGATTTCAACGTTATTCCAACATTGTTGAGTCGCATAAAATGTTCCTTGAGCAATATGAGTGCCTCAGGAAATGGTATGAAGATATTCTTAATATTCCTCTTCTTACTAGTTATTGCAATCTCTGCATACAAAGGTAAGCCTTATTAATTCTCTTTTCTCTGGAGTTTAATTCTAATTATGTTAATATATAGTCGGTCAGCTTTTGCAAGAAAATGATACTAGAATAGCCAAAAAAATATTCAAATCAGTTCTTAAAGAGATGCAGGAGAGTGGGCTTCACAGAAATGGGCTGAATCCGGACAAAATTTACTTCTGGTATTCCTCACAAACAAGTCTAACTAAAGAGGAGTTTGATGAAAGAGTGCTACCTTTGATCGAAGTCTATTTCCACGAGTCTGACCTCATCAGAAGCACCACCAACAGAACTGGAGTTCAAGTCTGGAAGCTTGTTGAATAAAACATTTTCTGATATTTCAACCAGTGAGAATATATAAGGGGTTTTGGGGTTTTGGGGTTTTGGGGTTTTGGGG